TTTGGAATTATGCTCAATTTAAGCATGATCCAATTTTTCATCCTTTGAGCAGAGACACCTGATTTCACAATATAACACAGAACTAAATCACTGCTGGATTCACTCCAATATAACTTTGTCAGTGTACAGACTTCCTGAAAAAGGAAAACCTGTTTCCCAGAAAATGATATTCAGATGCCAGAAGAGACATATTAGGGAAAGGTTCCTATTCTACAATTACTTAAAAAATTTATATGACTAAAGATTTCCAAAACAGCAATCAATTCACAGTGATATCACTTCTAATGTGTTCTGCAAAAACATTGATTTATTTTTAGGTTTACTGAAACAAAACAGCCAAAACAAAATTTTCTGTTTCTCAACTTTTCCAGGAACTTACTCCTTGTTTCTCTTCCTTGGATTTCAACTTTCTCACCCTCCTCTCTTGCGACACTAATTTTGATATTCCTCCCATCTGCCCTCACCTTTCTCTCACCTTGCACCAAGCTCCCCCTTTTCCCTTTGCGCAAATCAAGCAGACTGTTTATCAAGGCCTCCCCTCATTAGGTTTGATACCAGTCCATGGGCATCTCACTCTTCACCAAATGGGTCACTTCTTTGTGAATAGGAAACATTGTGACAAAGACTGTTCTGTCATGGAGTTACCTGTGTACCTGTTTTCCAGCAATAGTCTCTGAATCTCATTAGAAGTACAACCGTGGCTGAATCTTTCCAGCTCTGTTCACTTTATATTCCACTTCCGAGCCAATATGTCCAAGTCACTTGCTCCTTATAACTCTGGATGGTTTTATTGCTAGGTGGCAGTGACAGAATTATTTAGTACTCCCTTATTTCCTGTTTCTGTGTGTTACATTTCATGTTATCAATCCTTCCAACATGTGGAAAGTCTTTCTGAGATGTCAGGATGAACCAAGTGTTCAAAGGCATGGAAAGCAGCTGAATTTGTTGGGGATTCAGGAGCGGTGTTAAGGGCCTTGACAGCTAAGCTGTGACCAATCATTGTCCTGTTCATCACATGAGTGAGCAACGAAGTTGGTAATGAAATGAAAAATCATCATTAAAATGTTAGGGACTTGAAAAGTCTGCCTTAACTGTAAGTTAAGTATACAGTAACAAGGATTCTCCCCCAGTGTCCTGGCCAACATTGACCTCCCAGCCAGCATCACTGGGAGAAAAAGAAACAGTTTGTTCAGTCACTTGTTGCTTTTCTGCTTATGGGGAGTTTGCTTTGTCCAAATTGTCTATAGTATTTCCTACATTACAACATTGTAAGTGTCTGTAAAACGCTCTGGGATGCTCTGAGTTGTGAAGGTGCCAAAGCAATGCCTTTTTAAAAAATAAAATTATTTCTTTCGCAGACACAATCCAAATCCTTTCAGTCCATGGCAAAGCATATGACTATATTGTAGGACTTTAGAATGTCGTAGCATTTTGGAGCATCATTGTTTGAGTCAGTCTTGAGGAATGTTGATCAACAAGTGAGTCAAGGATTAGGGGGTGTGCAGACAGGAAAATAGAGCTAAGACCACAATCAGATCAGCCACATAGCCTAGGACAGCTCCTATTTCTTATGATTGATGTGCTATTTATATTATATTAAAATCTGAAAATCTGTCACTGAAGAGGTTAAATTATTCTCATATGCTCATATAATAGATTCATGCAGCATGTTCTGTAGAAAAGGATTGGATGAATTTGGGATATAAAGAGAGTAAGAATGTGTGTAACCGGGCAAGTATTTCCTTACTTCCTTTTGATTCACTTGTGGGACATGGTATCACTGGCTGGGCTAGCATTTATTGCCCGTCCCTAGCTGTCCTTGCAAAGATGGTGCTGAGCTGTTTTTTTTTTGAACAGCTGCAATCCACCTGCTCTAGGTTGACCCACAATGTCCTTAGGGAGAGAATTCCAGGGCTTTGACCCAGCGAAGAAACAGTGATATATTTCCAAGTCATGATTGTAAATGGCTTGGTGGCAACTTGCAGGTGGTGGTGTTCCCGTTTATCTGCTGCCCTTGTCCTTCTGGGTGGAAGTGGTCGTGGGTTTGGAAGGTGCTGTCTGAGGATCTTTGGTGAGTTTCTACAGTGTAGCTTTTAGATAGTACACACTGCTGCTACTAAGTGTCAGTGGTGAAGGGAATGGATGCTTGTAGATGTTGTGCCAGTCAAGCAGGCTGTTTTGTCCTGGATGGTGTCAGGCTTCTTGAGTGTTGTTGGGGCTGCACTCATCCAGGCAAGCGGGGAGTATTCCATCACACTCCTGACTTGTGCCTTATAAATAGTGGTTAGGTTTTGGAGAATCAGTATGTGAGTTACTCACTACAGTATTCCTAACCTCTGGCCAGCTCTGGTAGCCATTGTGTTTATGTGGCAAGTTGACTTTCTGGCAAATGGTAACCCCCAAGATGTTGATAGTGGAAGATTCAGTGATGGTAACACCATTGAATGTCAAGGGGCAGTGGTTAGATTGTCTCTTATTACAGATGGTCACGTTTAACATTTGTGCGGTGCAAATGTTACTTGCTACTTGTTAGCTCAAGCCTGGATATTGACCAGATCTTGCTGTATCTGTACATGATTGCTTCAGTATCTGAGGAGTCGCATATGATTCTGAACATTGTGCAATCATTGATGAATATCCCCATTTCTGACCTTATGAAGGAGGGAAGGTCATTGAAGAAGCAGCTGAAGATAGTTGTGCCTAGGACGCTCCCCTGAGGAACTCCTGCGGAGATGTCCTGGAGCTGAGGTGAGGTGAGAGTGACAGCTGTTGACATCAAGGTATTATTCGACTAAGTGTGGCATAAAGGACCCCTAACAAAACTGGAATCAACGGGTATCAGGGAGCAAACTTTCCACTGGTTGCAATCTTACCTGGCACTTACCAGCAACATCTAATTGGAAAAGACTGGCTTTGATATCATGGCCTTGATAGAAATGATCCAATGAGTGATTGGCCAATAAAAATGTTGAGATGCTAGTTTGATCCACAGATGGTCCTGAGATAGTGACTTCGGGGAAGTGGAAAAGGGTGTCACTATGACTTGGGAGAAGAAACATTGGTTCCTTATTGGCACTCACTGACCTCGCCCACCCAACAGGAATGGAGTGAATCTTGCATAAACTGAAAGCCTAGGGTGGCTGGGAGCTCTTCCTCATTCCCTCAACTTGTTTTCAGTGGCTGGACTACTTACTATTACTCACCTCTGGAGCTGATCCAGAAAGATGAGACACGTGGTCAAATTACATTGGGGTCACCAGCAAGCACAGAACCACATTCAATTATCAAATACCTTGCAGTATTGGAGAGAAAATAGGGATTTTTAGCAGAATGAGTACTCAGGTTTGTGTTTTGGGACACCAAATTACTCAAGGATATTTTTTATATATAAACTCACCACCACATTATCAAACCTTCCCAATCATCCAAATAACAACATTGCCCAACACGGGCTGAGTAACAATCATTAAAAAGGGAAGGAATCTAGGTGGGGAGCCAATTTAAAATAATGTTGGAGGGGGTGAGGGGATAATGTACCCAAGCACTCACAGTACCCAGCTCTTTCTGAAATCCTTGAGACTGTTGGTGGGCACCACATTAATTCAGGATTTCCAAACTCTGATTTTAAATGATACAGTAAGCAACTGACAAATAATGAAGGATGGAGATGGTTTGCAAACAAGATTTTTTTCCTGGGGGTGTGGGCCACATAGAAATTCGGAAGCCGTGTGTAAATCCATATTTCCAATAATTCCATTAGAATTTATAGTGGAGTTCCACTTTGTAATTCACCCATTGATGAGGACATAGTTCTAAACTCAGATTTTCCAAAACATTGGGTCTTTAAAATGTTACCAAACAATCACAGCTGTCCCTAGCGGAGAGACAGGGCATAGACACTCTGTGCGGCCCGTCTCCCTAGGGTAAATCTGACTGTGTGTGACCCCTCTCCCTGGGTAAATCACACTGTGTGGGGCCCATCTCCCAGGAGTAAATCTGCCTGTGCAAGACCCATGTCACTGGGGTAAATTACACTGTTTACCTATGACTGTACCAGTTTTTCTTTACATTCCACAAGCAAAGATCTCTGTGTCTGCAGTTTTAACTTTATTGTGATTATCATTCAGCATTTTCCCTTATACCTCTTTTGTAAAGTTATAACGTAGTTCATTTTTCTTTAAATTCACCAATCATAATCAATGCTGTTCAGCCTGGACCCTGAAATTCAACCTCCAGACTACCTTGCCGTCTGCTTTCAGACAGTGGCAATCCAATGGTCATTCTTACCCTAGCTTCCAGTTCCTCCTGGGGTCTATAACCCCAGCACAGGGTGTCCCAAAGCTTGGATTGGTCACCCTGACTCACCCTGCCCTCTGGAAATCTCTGCAGCCAAAAAGAAATATCTAAACAGCAGTATTGGCTGTAGAGCTAGATGACCGACATTTAGGACTGGGTGAGGCCCTAGTACCAGAGTTGGAATATTATTTTAAAAACCAAAAGAACTGCGGATGCTGTATATCAGAAACAAAAAGAGAAGTTGCTGGAAAAGCTCAGCAGGTCTGGCAGCATCTGTGAAGAAAAAAAGAGTTAATGCTACGAGTCCAGTGACACTTCCTCAGAATACGAAATAAAATAAACAGATATAAACAGGGGTTTCAGTAGATCTCCTCAGTTGAGAGGCGGACTCTGAGCTGGCTGATCACAGCCAGTGTGCTGTGCACAAGTAAACAAAGGGTGACTTGGTGATGGGATACCAGCCTCTGTGCAGTTGTTTCAGTGTGTTTCTCTCCCCACTGATACTGCCAGACCTGCTGAGTTTCCCCAGCATTTTCTGTTGTTTATTTAACGAGAGCAAGCAGCAGTTTATCCAGTACTGTTTACACACACAGATACACAAACGGATACATCCGGCACAGATCGTACTGGCCCTTTAAGCAAAACAACCCGCCCAGTTCATGAATATGTATCTGAGTTCTGTCTGACTCTGGCTCGTTGCTATTTAACAAGGACTGATACATGCATGAGACACCCGGAAAAAAAAATTCTTCCCTTCCCGGGATTTATTTGGCTGCAAGAAGTTTCAAAACTTTGGGCCATTTCAACATTCAGACGGCCACCGATGCTTGGAAATTTTCTAACTAAACGGATCCAGGGGAAAAAATATCCCACCTACCTGTGTGTGTGTGTGTGTGTGTGACTGTGTGTGTGTGGGTCAGTTAAAATGATCAGCACAAGTGACCAGTAAAACACGTGTCTGGATTTCAAAAGGAAAGAAATATTTTGCGAAGGATGACGCTTGGAGGAAAATTACTAATTATTAAGGAGCCGTGGCTAATTCTTTAAAGGAGATCGTATGGGAGGGGAGGAGGAGAGTACATTTATTTAAATGACCACGATACATTTCTCAAAGTTTCAGTCCAGAAAGGGACAGTGCCGCTTGCAGTTAATTTCTGGTGAATATCATAAATTCATCGCCATTGATAGCCCAGTGTCCACCAGGAGCGAGCTGGACTTTCGGAAATCCTTGAGCCCTCCTGTAAGTTTGGAGAATAGTCGATGTTACGTGAGGCAATCGGTTCTGAAGATTTGAGTGCAAATGAAGCGACGTGATGACAGCCCAAGATAAGTGTTCACGCTGAGATCATGCAAGTGAGATCAAGCATGTTCCGGCTGCCCAGCTGGTATGTTCACTTTGTATTTCAGCTTTCTACCCTGTCCCAGTAAAAACCGTCTTCTGTCATTGACGTGACACATTAAGACTGCGTCCTTTCAAGCATCGTTTTCGAACTAAGTATTTCTGCGGACGATTAGTGCCGGTGTTGCTGAAAATGTAAGGTTATGAATAATTCAGTTGCTTTCATGTCTGACACTGTAGTAATTTGAATGGGAAATTGCGGGCAGAGAGAGTGTGTAGTGTATTGCTTGGTCGCTGGGAGGGGAATTCTGAGGTCCTCTTTATTTACCTTTCTAATGTGTGGTCCCTCTTCCCCCCTCTCTTGTTCAGGAGATGGTATTGCTGGAAATCTTGGCTGCTAGCTGCGTTGTTCCTGGGATTTGGAGCCCTCTATAGTGCTCAGGTGAGTAACAGTTCAAACTGAATCAATGTCAGGTAATTACACACCTATATGTGACACATACTGCAAATATAAACACATATACTGTATACACACACAGAGAGACATACGTGCATGCACACACGCATACAGACAACACAAAATCAGCAAAACATCTTTCACCAGTAATTAATATATGGTAACAAGGTGTAGAGCTGGATGAACACAGCAGGCCAAGCAGCATCAGAGGAGCAGGAAGGCTGACGTTTTGGGCCTAGACCCTTCTTCAGAAATGGGGGAGGGGAAGGGGATTCTGAAGTAAATAGGGAGAGAGGGGGAGGTGGATAGAAGATGGATAGAGGAGAAGATAGGTGGAGAGGAAACAGACAGGTCAAAGAGGCGGGGATGGAGCCAGTAAAGGTGAGTGTAGGTGGGGAGGTAGGGAGGAGATAGGTCAGTCCAGGGAGGACAGACAGGTCAAGGGGGCGGAATGAGGTTAGTAGGTAGGAGATGGGGGTGGGGCTTCAGGTGGGAGGAGGGGATGGGTGGGAGGAAGAACAGGTTAGGGAGGCGGGGACGAGCTGGGCTGGAACTCCCTTCCCCTCCCCCATTTCTGAAGAAGGTTCTAGGCCCGAAATGTCAGCCTTCCTGCTCCTCTGATGCTGCTTGGCCTGCTGTGTTCATCCAGCTCTACACCTTGTTATCTCAGATTCTCCAGCATCTGCAGTTCCTACTATCTCTGAATTAATATATGGTGCTTGATTTATGTTTTTTTTTATACTTTCCATTTCCTCTTTCTCTTGTTTTCTGGCTGACTTTAATGGAACTATCAAACTGTTACTGAGACTATAGGCATGAGCTCGTTGTTTAACTTGGCTACTGCTTTCACTTCATCTTAACTTTCCTGTCCATACAGTAAACTCACTTCCTTAATTCTGACTTCTATGGATTTGAAGGTAGACAGTTCCTAAAATGGTACATCTGTAAAAAGAATGTGCAGCAAATGATGTGAAAGATTTTTTAGGCACCAATAATTTGCATTTACATAGCTGTCTATCCCCTGCAGCATATCAGATATATTTCTCGCCATATTGCCTGATTGCAGACAGATAACCGATGACAAGTTGATTCTATATTAGATGAAGACCCCCCCTCTCCAGTTCCACATTTATCATTTGTGTTTGAATTTGCTTCTGTATTAAACAGTGTTTAATAGTGCTAGTGTTACTGAAATTCTCATCGCAGTGGCCTTTAAACAAAAGTTTTGTCCTATTTTTCAAAACATCTTACACAATGAGTTACTTGTGGAGTGCAGCAAAGGTTGTGCTGCAGGAAAACACTCAATGATCATGATGGTAGAGGATCACCCAAAAACCTGTACATCTTGAAAAGAAACTAAAGACAATGTTCAACTGCTTCAAACTTCACGTATATTAACTCCAAGACAAATCAATTGGATTAATGCCATTTGGGATAGAGTGTCAATTTCATGTTTCCCAGCATGTTGTCCCTTTCCCTGTTTCATTGAAATGGCTGTTATGCAGGATCAGGAGGCTCTTTGAACCTTGCAAGTGCTTCTTAGATAAGTTGAATCCTGTTCTGCATTTACCAGAAAGAAAGGTGGGAGGAACAGTGGTGGGAGTCACTGGTCAGGGTGACCAAGCACTGTGGAAAACTGTCTAACCTTGACTACCTTGACAGCAATGAATCAACAGTGCAGGGCGGCACATCAAATCTGGCACCTAGTGAATGGTCTGTATTGCTCAGCAACTCATTAAATTAATGAGAACACTAACGTTGCTGTGCTCTGGATAAACACTTTTTTTAAAATAAATGATTCATTGACTTATAATGTTTTCATTCAAATGTACAACTCTTTAATTGCTCCCCAATGCTAAGATAATATCGGACATCTGGATGCATGATCATCTTAAAATCATTTATGATATTATTACAAAGCCAGGCCTCAAGTTTCCTTTCTAATCTCATTAGGGCGACCAGTTAGAACCTATAAGTATAGCTAGTGAAGTGAAGAGATGTGGAGAAGTATTGCTCATCACCAATTACCTAGTCTGTGCTCGCTGACTACATTGGAACCCGCTCTACAAAAGTCTCAAATCTTAATTTCCCATTGTGTGTTCAAACCATTTCCCTCTATCTCTGTAGCCTCCTTCTGTATCACAATCATCTGAGACCTCTGATTTCCACTAATTCTAGCTGCTTGTGCACCTCCAACTTCCTTTGACCTGACATTGTGGTCATGTTTTCAATTGTCCAGGCCATAAGATTTGCAATTCCCTCTTTGAACTCCACTACCTCTCTCTCTTCTTTCAAGATGCTTGCTTAAACTTCTTCAACCAGGCATTTTGGTTACTTGTTCCATTGCCTCCTTTTTTGTCTCGGTGTCAGTTTTTTGTGGATTAAACTCCCACTTATCACTTTGGGACATTATTACTCTATTAGATCTGCTACATGAATGCAAGCAGCTATTTTATTTTTGTTGTTTGGCAGCCTGCCAGGGAGAAACAGTCCTGGTTGAGGGCCAAGTGTCAACCATGGTGTCAGCTCTGGCTTGTGTCAAGTGTGGGATCAGACTTACAGATGGATTCTCATTATTAAGTATCCCGATGAATGTATGTTGAATTCTTAATTTTTAATGAAGTTCTAACTTTCATGAAGAAGCGCTATAGAGCCTCAAAGTTGGGAGGGAGGGTAGTGTGCATCTTTCAAATTGCTTTTACGTTCTGCTGAAACCTGTGTGAGAATCAACAGCTTCTGACCTTAGCGTCTTATGCAGTGGCTGAAGGTAAGTGTATCTCAATTCTCAAAAGACAACTGTGTAGCACTCGAATTTAGGATTATAGGTCCAACTGTGACACACAGGCAACTTAACTTTTGTGTAATTTCCATAGGGGTGATATTCCTTTAGCGTGACTTTGTTTTCTTTTGTTCTGATGTGTCACATTTATCACCTATTAACAATCACAGGCACATAATAAATGGCTCAGAACATGTTAATAACTTCTGCCTCTACTGTGGAAAAGGGATCATGTTAAAGCTTTAGATTCTCCACATTTTAGCTTGGTAATGTGTTGTTGGTAGCACCCATTGCAGTTCTCCTGTTTCTGTGGTATACCAAGTAGTAAAAGACACTGTTTGTCACACTTCTTTTATAACCAATTAGGCCCAATCTTAATTAAATGTAAGACATTGAGTTATGAGTGAGTTAAAATTGTGCCTTTCGAGTCCTGTAGTGAGTAACATTTTCATCAGAAAAGCACTAGGTTTTATTTCCAATGTGTGCTGAGCTAGTCAATCAAGCAGTAAAGGGTGTATCCATAATTGGACTGTGCCCCTGAATTAGCAAGGAGAATATTGTTCTGTGATCCCAACTCTCTGTCTGGCAACCTTTATTGGACATGTACGTATGTGGCTGTCAAATTAAGGATCAGACTAAGCTCTGTCACCACCTAGAGCCAAATTGCCTTCTGGCGCTTATGGTCAATGCTCAAACATGAATAATGCCCCTTTGTGTGAAACACTGTGACCCAAAGGTAACATTTCTTAAGAACCTCCTCTCATAGCTCACAGCCCTGACACAAGGGACAAGCCTCATGGCTCTTCCATGAACCCTCACTGTTCAATTATTTTTTAACCTTGGAGAAAGATCAGACGGAAGGTGTGAACGACATGTTCCCACAGGTAAACTCCTGCAGCTTCCACCTATACATGTGTGAGGAGCAACACTTTAAAAGCAAATAGCCAAGGGGTAATTTCCTGCAATGCGCCAAACTGTTTGGATCAGACAGCATGCATGAAAGCCTGAAAGTGAACTTCCTTTTAAATGCTGACCCAGTCCTAGAAGATTTTTTTTAAAAATTGCATTCCCTTAGGTAGGGGAAAACCAGCCTGTTCACAGTATGATGACTGTCTAAAGAGCTTGCTGTACTCACCACGCAATAAATATCTGCAGCCCATTGAAGAATGAATTAGTCAATAGCTGGGAGCATAATATTTCACAACAAATCTTGTGAATTTCTCTTGCCCAGCATGCTTTCTGCTGTGTGTACCACAATGTTTGCTGCTTGAAAGACTGCACAAAATTTAGCAGTTTCTGAAAAATAACAATACTGCCTTCTTCACAGTCCTGTCATTTATTCAGTTCAGGACAGCCGTATAACCTTGTATACACAGTATGTTCTTATTATCTCACGTGGTTTACTGTGAGCTGTTCCAGATTGTGTCATTCTTGAAGTTACTTGTGGAAGGCAGCATGTCTTTTCTGTATGGTGCTGCTCTGTACTGTGGGTTTGAGGTCAAAAAGTGGCACATTGATGTGTGCAATGTTTTCCTTTTTAAGCAAGTTAGCTCCTGGTTGCAGCGTGGTAAGGTCTTACTGTCAATGTCATGCAGTGGCAAACGTCCATGGTGTATTCACTATCAGAGGTTTACCATTAGCTTGGTATTTCAGAATGAGGTCAAAAATCATACAACATCAGATTATAGTCCTACAGGTTTATTTGAAGACACAAGCTTTTGGAGTCTCGCTCCTTCTTCAGGTGTCAGTGAGAGTGGTGGCATCAGACGCAGAATTTATAAGCAAAAGATCAAAGGGTCATAGAACTAATGGGACTGTATTGAACAAGCCTAAGGTGGCTGTTAAATCTTAAATCAGTTAGAAAGGATTAATACGCAAATTCCTGAATTTCTTTCAAGTCACTGCCCTGAGATAACTAAAGGTTTTGTTAGTTCCCTCAGTATACCAGAGGTGACATTCCAGGTCAGACAATGCATTTTAGGTGTGAGGCCTTGTTTCTTCCCCACACCTCCACTTCTCGCTTTCAAACAATTGCCAAACCTTAAACAGACCATCATTTGCAGCAAACTACCCAGCCTTTAGGACAACATCAACCACAACACCATACAATGTTGTCATGGCAGCCTCTGCAAGACAAGTCAGATTATCGGCATAGATGCTACAATCTCACGTGGGAACACCACCCATCATGTGCCTGGCAGATACC